GTATTAGGTATCAGCTCTAAACTCATGTATATAAGAGCAACACTAGATGGACTCAGTAAGGTGTGTGTGTGTGTGTGTGTGTGTGTGTGTGTGTGTGTGTGTATGTGTGGTGTATACATGTGTGCAAAGCAATTGCAAAGCAATAATAATTAATTGTACAAGAAGGGGGTCCTAAATCCAAGAACCAGTAGTGGGTATTAGGGAGGAGTTGGAGGGGGAGAGAGATAGAAATCATGTAAATACAGTATACCTATTTTCAAAACATTAAACATTTTCTAATACTAAAATGAAAATTGCAGGGAAATGTATGGAGTTGGAAAAAGTATGCTAAGTGGGGTAACTCAGGAGCAGTCAGACAAATAATGCTTGCTATCTGTGCTATTTTCCATGTCTACCTCCTAGCCTCAACTCTGTTCAACATGAGTACTTGTGGAAGCCAGGAAGCTAGGAAAGGCACACTCACGGAGGGGAGTTGCCTTAAAGGAGGGAGAAGTTTAGAGCATAGGTAAAATGAAGGTGCAGAGGAGGCAATCAGGGGTGGAAATGTTCAGATAAGGAGAGGAATGGATGATGGTGGAGACAAGGAAATAGATGAGGGTTTATTAAAATGGGGGGTATGAAAAATAGGAAACGATGAGACTGGGTATGTTCATGGCAATATGACCAGAAGGAATTAGGCAAGCTGATGGGAGAAAAGTCATCAATAGATTTACTCAACTGCGACCCCTGCAAGCTATAATAACAACTAGCCCAACAATATATACCCACTAATACAATGATGGAATAAAGATTGGAGGTCAGTAAACACCAGTCTTCTAATCAGATTGAAGGCCAACTCCATAGTAAGGAACTAATGCCTGGTACCTTTAACCTGGCCAAGAATCTGTGGCTGGGGAGGCCCTAGTTCCTAGCAGAGGAATCTAGTATTAATAATGCTAATACAGAATATCAAATTGCATTCTAAACACACATCCTTATAAACATATATTTGTGCAGCTTTCATCCCGCATGAGAAAAACTTCTTTGTGTCATGGGCAGGAGTTAATACAGTGACCCTCACAGTACAGAGAATAGCAACCGAGTCGATCGGCTATAAATGGGCTATCTTATCACTCCCCTCCCCAAGACTCAGGGGTGGTCTCGGGAGAGAAAGCAGAAAGATCATAAAAACAAGAGGTGATTTGTACATGGATGGTGGAAAAGCTCATGAGGCCCCATTCTTCGCATAGGAACTATTGGCAGTTGATTCCCACTTGGAGAGAAAAAAATAGGCTTTCCTCAGGAGTGTGGGCCCTGATAGGTTGTCCATGGTCCAGTGGAGAAGCCCATACCTAAGTGTATATGGGGAACATAAATTTGACTCAGTGGGCCATGTTTTTTAAAAGAGAGAAGAGAGAAGTTGCTGGAAGTCTGGTGGTGGATGGAGGAGAGAAGGGGTGCACGTGATCCAAACACATTTGATATACACAATCCTCAAAGAATAAATAAAAAGTGTGTTTTCACTAGAATTTTAACTCTGTTGATAGTTCAGTGTTGCTGATTTACGAGGAAACAATAGATCTTATAAAAGAACTCTTTTTTAAAAAATCAAAATAAAGAGACTGGAGAGGTAGCTCTACAATTAAGATCATTTACTGCTTTCTAGAGGACCTGGGTTATGTTCCTGGTACCCACATACAGGTCCTGTAGCTCACAACTGCTTGTCACTCTAGTTCAGAGATCTGATACCAGAAGCCTCTGGCTTCTGCAGGCATCCATCCATGTGGAATGTATTGTCACAGAAACACATGCATACAGTTAAGTAAAAAATAAATCCTGAAAAATAAATGCTCTATTCCTATTCTTAGGATGCAGGATCAAGGTGAAAAGGAGGACTCCATGAAGAAGGAACTTTGCATTTGCAAGCTTTGCCTCAGTGACAGTGTGTGAGAGAGTGGAAAGAGACTGACCTGAGCAACCAAAGTGTTGGAGGAGGAGCTCACACGCCCTCCAAACCTCTGTGGGTTTTTCTTTTTGTTTGTTTGGTTTTTGGAGACAGGGTTTCTCTGTGTAGCTCTGACTGCCCTGCAACTTGCCCTGAGACCAGGCTGGCCTTGAATTCACAGAGATACTCCTGCCTCTGCTTCCCAAGTGCTGTTTAAAGGCATGCACTACCACAAGCCAGCAACCACCGCTTTGTTTTCATTTTTTGAAACAATCTTTTTATTTTACATATCAATTCCAGTTCTGCTCCTTCCTCTCTTCCTGCTCCCCCCACCTCCCACCTACCCCAGTCCCTCAACTCCTCAGAGAGGGTGAGGCCTCCCATGGGGAGTCAACAGAGTCTGTCACATCAAGTTCAACCAGGACCAACACTCCCCCCACCCCTGTATTTAGGCTGAGCAAGGTATCCCTCCATAGGGAGTGGGCCCCAAAATGCCAGTTCATGCACTAGGGATAAATCCTTGTCCCACTGCCAGTGGCCCCATAAACTGCCCAAGCCACACAACTGTCACCCACATTCAGAGGGCCTAATTCAGTCCTATGCAGGTTCCCCAGCTGTCAGTCCTGAGTCAGTGAACTCCCACTAAATTGGCTCAGCTGTTTCTGTCGGTATCCCTATCATGGTCTTGACCCCTCTGCTCATATTGTCTCTCCTCCCTCTCTTTGACTTGACTCTGAGAGCTCAGCCCAATGCTTAGCTGTGGATCTCTGCATCAGCTTCCATCAGTTACTGGATGAAAGTCCTATGATGGCAATTAAGGTAATCATCAATCTGATTACAGGGGAAGGCCAGTTGAGGCACCCTCTTCACTATTAGAGTCTTATCTGGGGTCATCCTTGTATATTCCTGGGAATTTCCCTAGCATCAGGTTTCTTCCTAGCCCCATAATGGCTCCCCTAACTATGTTCATAGCAGCATTATTCATAATAGCCAGAACTGGGAAGCAACCTAGATGCAGTTCAACCAAAGAATGGATAAAGAAAATGTGGTACATATTTACACAGTGGATTACTACTCAGCGGTAAAAAAACAACATTTAAAATTTCCAGGCAAAATGAATGGAACTAAAAGAAACCATCCTGAGTGAGGTAACTCAGACACACAAAGACAAACATGGCAAGTACTCACTCATAAGTGGATATTACACATAAAGCAAAGGATTACCAGCCTAAAGTCTATAACCCCAGAGAAGCTAGGAAACAAGGAGGGCCCTAAGAGAGACATACATGGATCCTGCTGGGAAGGGGAAATTGACAAGAACCTCTGTGGTTTTTAAAGCTAGAAATATTATCAGATCCTTTCACATCAGGAGAAAAGAGCAATAATTAAAATGGCAGTGTCAGAGAAACAATAGTAGAACTGGTGTGTGTCAGAATAATTAATAAATTTGAAGGTCTGGGTTAGTTGAGAGAATCCAGTCTGAGGAACAAGAGATTAAAAAGCTGGAAAAATGAACATAGCTCAAGAAATTTACCAGACTCCACCTAGCATACCAACACACATAATGAGCTTTTTACATGGAGAAAAATCATTTGAATCATGGGTGCTGCTCAAAGCATTAATAATCTATGTGTCTATGAAGTTTGGTGAATGAGGTAATCTTAAGAGATAGCAAATGCAAGTTTGTGAAGCTGCATGTGAGCACTACATTAAAAATATTTGAATGCTTTTTGTATTAGTTGTACTGGTTGTCTGCCATTCTTCTTTAATAAACACGGATCAAATATTGGAGGGTGCATTATAAGTGTGGAGCTACATCGAAACGGATAGAATTAAGTTAAGGAAAACAGTATATAGACTTTGAACAAAGTTCTAAAGTCAATGAGGCAGTCGGAAAGACAGGCTTGAGATGGAAGAGGGTATAGAGTGGAGATGCAAGTTGGTGAATAATTGGTATTATTCAGGGAACTGAGTAAGAATGAGATCATCCAGACAGTGGAACACGACCACATGAAATGACGAGTTGGGAGACTGATAACAGAAATCCAGAGACACCAACCCTCTCAAGTGGAAGCTCAGTTTCCGGCTGTGTAGTTAGATAGAACTATTGCAAAGTGGGATTCAGGAGCTGAGCATTCTTGGCAATGCTTCCCCCATCTATATCTTTGAGCTGTCACAATTGGTGAGAATGGGCATCCGACAGGGATTCTCAGAGAGGACAGCCTGGTAAAGCACTTTAGTCAGGAAGCCTTCCCCTCCTTTCCTTGGCCACTACTCTCCTTTCTCCATACTTTTACTAACTGTGCTTTGCTTCCCCAGATCCTCTGGGATGGGAGGTGGGGAGACAGTTGGGG